GCATCTACTTCTCCAAGTACAATTATATGAAGTCAAACACAAAGTTTATTCCTCTACAAAGCAAAGCATTGAGCGCCGGACCTAACCGTTTTCCTTTTGAGATGCAGATCTTTAGGTAATGGATTAATAGCTGGAATATGGAGGAATTCTCTCTTGCATCACATTCGTGGTAATTCTAATTTACAAATACAGGAAATCTAGAAATGAAAAACAAACCAATTGAAAGTGGAGAAGTTCCTTCGAGACTACAAGGCTGTCAATAAACGAATAACATTCCGTGACCTTAAGAAAATAACTAGTAGTTTAGTACAGATGGCCAAGGAGGTTCGGAAGTGTTTTCAAAGGTAAACTCTCTAATGGAATTCCAGTTGCTGTTAAATGCTGAAACATCAAAGCAAATGGTGAAGAGTTCATCAATGAAGTGGCGACAATAGGTAGGATACATCATTTTAACATGTTCGCCTTCTAGGATTTTCAGAAGGGGCACGAATGCTCTTGTTTATGAGTTCATGCCCAATGGATCTCTTGAGAACTCATCTTCTCAAAAATAAAAACTCAAATCATCGACTATTGAGTTGGGAGAAGATGTTGAACATTGCATTGGTGTTGCACATGGAATAGAGTACATGCATCAAGGATGCGACCAAAGAATCCATTTTGACATCAAGCCTACAATATATTACTAGACCATAATTTTCAGCCAAAAATTTCAGATTTTGGGCTGGCCAAGCTATGCTCAAGGAAAAGAGTATATATCAATGACAACTGCTCGAGGAACGACGGGCTATATTGCTCCAGAGCTTTTTCTAGACACTTTGGAGAGGTGTCTTACAAGTTGATGTATTTAGCTTTGGGAGATGTACTAGAATGGTTGGATGTCGAGAGAATTTTGACTTACATCGAAAATGCAAGCCAAGTTTATTTTCCTGAGTGGATATACAACAAAATGAGCCATGGAGAAGAGCTTTGCTTAGAGATTGAGGAAGATGGAGACGAGGAATAGCCAAGAAGTTGCAATTGTGGCACTTTGGTGCATTCAATGGAATCCAACAGAGAGGCCTTCTATGCCAATGGTAATACAAATGCTTGAAGGGATTTACAGAGCTTGGAGATTCCCCAAAGCCCTTGTTCTTCAGGGATGAAAGGATGCAAATTGATATATTAAAGGGAATGTAAGAAATTCTCGTCCAAATTGGCCAGGTATAAATAAGATCTTCTAGTTCTTGTAATCATGAGGGCATTTGAAATAAGTGCAGAACAAGTTAATATTTTTAATGGTTAGAACTTTCTGTTTAGTTTATTCAATAGATATGATCCTCAATATTGGAATTTTTGTGTCAATCTCTGCGATGAATCCACTATATCATAATTATTTTGCAGATTATTATATTATATGAGCTATAGCTTGAACAAACAACCAAATGCCTCATCACTTAAATGTTTCTTTCATTTTTAAAATCTATATTGTTGGTGGCATATTCCCTTCGACATTGTAGCCAAGGAGTTTTAATTTCGTCTAAATAAAACATAGACAACTCAAAACTTATAAACTAATTAAGGGTTTCCTTCGTCAACAATGAAAAATTAACAAAGAGAGTCTCACTTATAGCAACACTACAACAAAGCAATAGATATTCCAAACAAATCTGCAAATATCTCCTTTTTTTGGGGGAGGGTAACGAGGTGTCCAGACCAACTTGTCGCACTCAACTAATCTTCGAATCCATTAAATACTCTACAAGTCCAAATGATCAAGTAAGGTGGTCTCAGGATTTGAACTCAAGAACTCAAGGAATGGAGTAAGCCACCCCTTAGGGTTAAAATTCGGAACCAAATATCTCCCTACTCCTGCTTGTTTACAAGGAATAACCAAAACTTGGAGTAAACATAAAAATTCCATCCACTAATGATTTATTCTAGCTTTGGGCCTGGGCTTCTTAGTATGGTACCACAAGACTCTGCAACACAAAGGCCGGTAACATGAAGTGGCATCATAAGCAAATCTTCTTGTAAAGAAAATTTCAGTTTTGAGCAACTCTTTCGCTCTCTTTTACTTTGTGAATGTGTATTTAGCTGAAATTACAGCCAACAATTTTGGTATTTCTTTAGACCTTGTCCAGACTGTGTCACTAGTCGAAGAGAAAACTTGAATTCATCATCTAAAGGGATCTCATAGTTTTTGAAGAATAAAATACTCAATTTTTCTGTAATGCATGAGGGTGGAAATGGTATGAGATTGACCCAAGAGATATGAAGCAAAACAAGTGCAGTGACTAGAAACAGACTTCCAATATATAAATATTCTGTAGACATGAGCTGGCCTGATATATGTCAAAGGCCAATGCTTCTTCAGCTCTATTGTTAGTGGGGTAAGGCTGGCTATTTGCCTCAAATTCATGAGAGAGAAAATGGTAGCTGAAAAATCATAAGGAACCACAAGTTACATAAATAATATATGTATAAAAACTGAAATTGCATTATGATTGGTGAGTAAAAATTAAACAAGAAAAAAAAAAAAAAAGTTAAAGTCAAGTTAAAGTGGATAATATGACAATCAGACAATCTATGCATTAGTTGAAAAATAAAATAACTATGTTAGGATCCACATTGAGAGAGAAAATGAGTGGGCATGTGGTTTATAAGGTTGGGGCACCCCTCCTGACAAGCTAGTTCTCCAAAGAGGGTTCTACCAAACCACACAAAAACCACTACGTAACCTAATTCTATCAAAGGCCACTACAGTCCATCTATCATTTGGAAGTGAGTTCTTATCAAATAGTATCAAAGTCAAACCCTGCCCAGCCATGTTCCAAAAGGGTGACCTGGAAAGAGGTCACCCAGAGTGAAGCCATCCCTAGTAGGCCAAATGGACATTGGTCTCAAAGCGTGTGAGAATGTTAGAATCTCACATTAAAAGGAAAAAAGGGTGGGAATGTGGTTTATAAGAGCACCCAAAGGACTCTTTATATGACCTAAACTCTTTATTATAAAGAGTCTATCTATAAAAAGAAGAGTCCAATATGCTCTTTATCTTTAAAATAAAATTAGAGAATAGGTTTAACTTTACATTTAGAAGAGCAATTTCACTCTTATCCTAATTTAATTAATAAAATACAAGTTCCTATGCATTTTTTATTAATCCTCTCTCATTAGTCTCTTTCTAAAAATAAAGAGCATCTTCATTAAATTTAAGAGTCTATTGGTTTGAATAAAAATTGTGTTATTTATATTTAAAATAATGAAGATGCTCTTCAAAATAAAGAGCACCATGGAGATGCTTAAGGGCTTAGACATCCTCTCTTGGCAAACCGGTTTTCTAATCAAACTATTATGAAAAGTTACCATAAGATTACTCAATTTGATTTTAATACAAATCAAATGACTATGAACATGTATAGCCCGGCACTACTGTCGGCGAGTAGGGTCAATTTTGAAGGAAGACCAACAAAAAATTTAAAAAATAGTTTGCTATTGAAAGATGAAAGCATTTGCACAACTTGCATTCCTTTCTATTTCAATCTGCAAGATTTTGCCATCCAATTTCCAAGAGAAGGAGAAGAAAAAATATGGTTTATAAGGGCTTAGACATCTTCTCTAACAAGCGGTTTTCTAATCAAAATATGTGAAAGATTTAGTTTAACATTACTCAATTTGATGTATATCAAATCAAATGACTTGAACATTGCTTTAGCCGCGACACCTAATCGGCGACTTAGGGTCAATTTGAAAGGAAGACCAACAAAAAATTTAAAAAATATGTTTACTATTGAAAGAGAATGCACTTGCACAACTTGCATTCCTTTCTATTTCAATCTGCAAGATTTTGCCATCCAATTTCCAAGAGAAGGAAAGAAACAACAGTGCAAAAATTATTAAAACTAAAAGTTGAAGCCTAGTTATTGGGAAGGGAGCCTTGGCTGCTTGCAAATCCCTCCCAAGCCTTTCTTATCTTCTCCAAGATCAAGACCAGATTCTTCAACACCATTGTTCAGCTATGATGAATGTAAATGAAGATTTCCCCACCAAGAAAAATGACTTCATAAATGTCAAATTTTCTTCAGTGAAGATTTATAAAAAAAATAATAAATTGATGATTGCTTTAAATTTCATTTATCTTGTTGTAGCTTAGGCTTTGAGTGGTGCATTTCGCATAAACCATGCATTTTTTCAGTTGAGCGGTGTTTTAATAACCAATTCGGGGTGAAACCCAGCAAAGTTGCTGGTCCCGAGTTGACCGACCAAAAATTCACAAAATACACATCAAAAAATTCGTTAACTCCCTACAAGTTTGAAATTTACCAAACACACCCTAAGTACAAATCAGCAGTCAACTTGTTGACGGCGACCACACACCAATTGCTATCCCAATCATCCCTTGAACCATTTCCCAGAAAATCTACCCAAGATCCGACTGAAATTGGTTCAATTTTGACCAGATCTCTCCACCGCTAGTGTCAACAACCCAAGCCAGATGTTGCCACCGTCGGCGTCAACAAACCTCCCTATTACCACGAAAATACTCCCATCAGCCTCCTAACTAAAACTCACCTCACCCCACCCTCGTTCGCCTCACCAATCGCCGACTGTTGTTGTAACAAGTTTTTTTCAATTTCCATCGATTCACTCACCGAAAATCACCTATGTCGTCACCATTTCACTCACTAGAAATCATTTTGACCGCCACCATTGCACTCACTAGCCCTTTCTCTTCAAAAACCTAACATCTTGACCTTCAATTGTTCACCGATCAGTGTCCCAATTTCTAGAGTTTTTGATGAATAAGTGAAATTGCTAACATGACCGGTGAAGGCCCCGAGTCCCGGTCTGGGTTTTAAAACATTGCAACCAAGCTATAATTAAACGACCACTGATCAACAAGGACTTGCAATCTATATAATACCCTAGACTGGTCAAAGCATTCAATAAGTTCTAGCAGACCGAACTCTGGATTTCAAGAGACATTCGAAAAATCAATGTGCATGCTCCTCAATTAACTCTTCTTTAAACGCTAAAACTTATTTTACATTATTTTTAATATTACAATATTACATATACAATTGATGTAGCACTTTAGTAAGATTCAATAAATTGACTAGCCTATGGGGATTGGGGTACAAAAAATCAGAATGCAGGGAGAAAGAATAAAGGAGTTGCATTGATGAAATTATGCCACTTAAACTCCACTTGGGCGTTTTCCTTCCATGGCATCCTTCTTATTACGACAATCAGCGCAAAGAAAAGGTCCTTGCCAGGGTTTTGAGCTGGTGGAGAAGATGGAACCAGCATGGACAGAGATGCCCTCACTTGGTGCAAGGTCAACTTGGCATACAGCGCAGGTGAAAAGACCAGATGTTGATTGTGTGGTAGGTTCATCATTTCCCAGTCTGCAAGATGCATAAAAGGAAATGACTTCGATGCAGATAGACATATATGAGAAAAAAGTTGTCACAAAATAGAGATTGGGTTGACAACAATGAAAGCTAGTTGTCTAGCCGCATATTAGTTCCAAAGCACAGATAAATTAGCTATATGTAACACACTCTTTCCAGAATATGTTTTCGTTGATTTTTGAAGTTTCAGTACAGATACAGGCCCAAAGTTCCCACTCCTTTTGAAAAGCAATTGACGAATTCACAACTTTTCAAGAATAGCCATCATGTAAAGTAAAAGTAGTCTTGTTCTCTCAAATTCATCCACATTTCCACTTTTAAAAGTATGTACCTATGAACATACCATGTGCACCCACCCCTTTCACTGACTAAGAAGTCCAGTGATATTATTACCAGTAAGATTAAAATTTAAAACTAATGTCTTTTATAGTAGTTGCAATAACCTATTATCAATCCCGGATATGACAAAATTAAGCACAAATAACATGTTTAAAATTTTCCATGTTCAAAATAGAGGTCAAGAGCATGACTTTAGTTGGACATCATTCTTATCTAGTGCTTTTCTTTTCCCGTCTCTCATCATGTCCAATTGTATACCTAAGCTAAATACCCCTAATTTAAATTTATACTGCGCAACTTTTATAAGAAGGAAGAACCACAGATGGGAACTAGATTAGGAAATCAAAGCATAATCATAAGCCTCCCAAATCAATCACAAAATAAAAACTCAGAAAAGCAGAGGAACTACCAACCTTTCAGCCAGCATTGCTGACCCTTCTTCAAACAGTTCTTCAACAATTCCTACAGCTGAAAGCTTCTTAGATAGTTTATTTGCACCATCATGGGACTTCTTCCTAAATAGCAGTGCCCTAAACCTGTTCTGCTTTTTGGGTGGAGGCGAGGGCGGTAGTGAATTATCAGGAGGAATTATGTCAACAACTATGCAAGTTGTGTCATCTTTTAGTCCCCTTGTCCTTAAGGCTTCCTGAACAATGATTCATCAAATGCAATAAGAAACTGGGTTGAAAATTCGTTAAAACAAAAGTTAAGCACCCAACCTAACTACAGGGCTAGCACTGCAAAATATTAAAGCATCAAATTCTCAAATCACCTTCACAACTTGTCTAGCAGCAAGTTCAGCTGGCAATCCACGGCAAAGACTGTGCAGCCATTTCTGAGGATAGGGCATTCCAGATTCCATCAGAAGCAATAATGAGCCTCCCACCTGCATTTGATAGCTTTTACACGAATGAAGAATGTTAGCATTCATGCTGAACACTGGTATAGTATTTTCACTCTTAAATGCCGAGGAATCATAGACAAAGAAGCACAGAACAGAGAACTAAGAAAAGAATCAATACTTCACAAGTAAAAAACATAAATAGAATATAAAAGATGGACACCTTCACTTGTTTGACGAATGGTATTGGTACAATAAACTCTCCAACATCCATATCTCCAATTGACCTAGAAAGACACAGACCACCAGACTAGCAACGGAGTGAACCAATTTGTACACACCGTAAAGGATAATATTAAAAGAGAGACAAAAGAAATCATGTTGTTTAACGTTAATGAAACTTTGGTAAATGAGTAATATAAGAAAGCGCCTCACCTCAGCACCACCAACAATGCTAAGCCTCCCAACTTCACCTCCACTTGCAGTTACACGTTCTCTCCTGCACTCACAGAATAACCAATTATTATTCCCGTACAGATTAAGGGAAGAAACAAAGCTTTGAGATAGACACGCACTCTTCCACGTTCTCGTCAAGTCTATGGTCGAAAGTTAAGGTGGAAACGGCACCCCCTTGAGCATCTCCTACAGATGCAACCGTCACAGTCCATCTGTCAAATATGACAAACGTTGCTGCGGTTCCAGATGTTCTTATTTGCAGATATATCATTGCTCCAATTGTTCTACTTGTGTATATTATCCACAAATATGCAGAAACGTGGAAGAAAGCCGATGAGGTAGAGAAATTGCTTAACAATCAGCTATCCTGGATGCCTAAAAGGTACTCTTACCCTGAACTAATGGCAGAAACAAACAACTTCCAAGAAAAATTAGGCCAGGGTGGCTTTGGATCAGTTTACAAAGGGCAACTTCATAGTGGTTGCTTAATCGCTGTTAAGGTACTTGAAAATTCCAAGTTCAGTGCTGAAGAATTCATCAATGAAGTCTCTACAATTGGTAGAATTCACCACATTAATGTAGTACAACTGCTTGGATTTTGCTCAGAGGGGGATAAACGTGCACCTGTATATAAGTATATGACTAATGGATCACTTGATAAGCATATCTTTTCGAAAGAATGTCAAGTTTTATCATTTAATTGGAAGAAGCTCCATGAAATTGCTTTAGGAACAGCTCGTGGGATTGAGTATCTGCAAAACGGCTGTGATTTGTGCATTCTTCATTTCGACAAATATCTTGTTAGACCATGATTTTGTCTCAAAAGTTGCTCATTTCGGATTTGCAAAATTTTTTTCAAAGGAAAATAATTTTGTGTTTGTTAGTGTGACAAGAGGTACAATAGAATACATAGCTCCCAAGTTAATTTCAAGAAATTTTGGATCTGTTTCTTCCAAGTCTGATATTTATAGTTTTGGTATGTTGATACTGGAAATGGCTGGAGGAACAAGGAATTCTAATATGAAGGCAGCTCGTTCAAGCAAAGCATACTTCCCATCGTGGGTATATGACCAAATAGATAAAGGATGAGATTTAGAACTCCAGAATGCAACTGAATTTGAATCCGTGTTAGCAAGAAAACTTTGTATAATTGGGTTATGGTGCATTCAAGTGATGGCAACAGATCGTCCGTCGATGACAAGAGTAATTGAAATGTTAGAAGGAAGCATTGACGGCTTGCAAATGCCTCCTAGGCCTTTCTTTTCTTCTTCTATCAAGATTTTTCTATGAAAGAGATTCAATCAGATTCTTCAACAGAGTTTCTTCTATCTGAATCAGTGAACAAATGCTCATATAATAATACTGATGCTTAGTTATTTGCCTTTGTAATATGTTGAAGTAAAATAAAACTTAAAGTTTCTTTCTACACAATCTTGTGCAAATTCAGTAAGGAATAAATACTTTATTTTCTCTTAAAGCTAAAATACATGAAATTTCTTCACAAAACAATACCAATTGTTGGGTCCAAAATTGTAGGCCCAGTTTCCTAATCAGCCCAAGAGAGAAGGGCTTGAACCCAGACAAAGAAAAAGAAGGCCCAAGGCCTGTTAAATGAAGAAGTGGGTTAAACCAATTTCCTTAAGAAAAGGGAGAAGGAGAGAAAATGGAGGGAGCATCCCACACACCATTCGAGTAGTGGAAACCAACTCCAACCTCCCATTACTGAAGAAGCCTACATAAAGGAAGCAAGGTCTTTTCCAAGCATTTTGGAGACTTTTCACACAAGTAAAATGTGTTTACTTATGAAATGATGTTGCTAAAAATGGTTAATTATCGAAAGAATATTGATCTTACAATTGAAAATAATAGTCAAATTTACTTTCTAAAGTGGATATACAACAAATTGAGCCAAGGAAAAGAAGTTAATCTTGAAATTGAGGAAGATGGAGATGACAAAATTGCTAAGAAGCTTTCAATTGCAAATTCTTGAAGGTGATTTGCTGAGCTTGGAGATGCCCGAAGCTCTTTGTTTCGTCAGATGTTGTCATATTTGTACATTTATACATTAAAGACATGGTTGTAATAAATTTGAAACCCAATTTACCGATGGTGCTCCTTTGTTTCTTACTTAAATTTGTTTGGATTGATTTCTATAGCTTTATTTTATTGTTGAACTAAATCCCTCGGTCCCTATGCCGTAAGTGAAGCATTCTTGAAAAATAAAGAGTTACTGCTTTATATTTTATAATTGAATTTCGAATTTAACATAAAATTTTAATAAATTTATTGTACAATTGAAGTTAATGTAAATTGCCAGAAAAGCTAAAACAATATACTACTAGAAAACTAAAAATGTGTTTTGTAACTATTCAAAATTAATCACCGGTAAATAATTTGATGGTATAAGAGCAAATAAAGATCTAAAGTTTACATGATCTCTTGAGTTTGAGTCCTTGCACCTACTAATAGTATAGTTACTAGAGTTTTTATCCTATCAGTAGTTTCAAGATTCAGAAAGATTAATTGAAGTATACATAAAGTTGTCCCTGACATCCTAGTAAAAAAATAAATAAATAAATAATAATTCAAAATTTCTTAAGTTTCTAGGTTGGGCTTCATTTTGGGCATGTACTTTTTGAGTAATGGAGATCCACCAATTAAGGGGTAGAATTGTAATTAAAATTAATATATTAAACGAAATAAAAGAGTCGAATATTCTAATTTAGCAAAAAGCCGAAAGCCTTTGCTCACTCACGCTCACCTCTGGTCTCTGTCAACATTTTAACTAGTATATTCATGGCTATTAAACCTGGGTTTTCTTTCAAATTTTATTACAGAGAGATTTGGTATCTCTTTTATCCAATGAAACTAAATATATGTTGACAGCAAATATATTTTATTACTATATTTTTCACGTTCATCAATACTAGTTTCTTGTAAGTTTACATCCAAGACTTATTCTCTATTAAGAATGTTTGTTAGCTTACCATCTTTTGCTTATGGTTCCATTCAATATCACAAATAATTTAATAATCTACTTACTTATATCAATTAATCAAGGTTTTAAACTTACAGGAATAGTAACACAATCACAAGAGCTTTGAAATAAATTATGAGATAGCTAATTGAATTGTCATTGCAAATCTTTCTGGTTTGAGCTTTATCATGGGCCGGGTGTTAAATCTGAAAAATGGAAGTATTTTTTAATTAAACAAACGATTTCAATGATTATTTTAATTTTGGATTTAGGATTTATGTAAGAAATAAAAGTTTAAAATAATAAAACAGAGTGTGGGTATAACTAGAGTTTTTAATATATCATTTCTCGTAATTATCTTTGTCAACATAACAAACTTTTGAAAGTGGGAGATACTGATCAAATAGGTGGGGGTTAAAAATCACTTCCCCATCAATTATAATCTCAATGAATTTATGCCTAAATAAAAGTGAAATAATTCTAATATTCTACAATTTTTTGTTTGAAGGAAGGATTCCACCCAGCACCTAGAATTCCATCAGTTCATCTTTGTATTCTTTTTATGAGAGAAATTGACCCAGTACCCAAAATTTGGACTTTTGTCAAAAAGTAAGCACAAAAGGCATAGTAATGAATAGGATAACTCTTGCTTTGTTTCGTGGGAAAACAACTGGAAAGAAGACATGGATTTAAATATTAAAAGCTTGCTTTTCTATTGTGTGAATGCATTCTGTATAAATATTTTAAAGTTCTATTCAATCAGGATTAAAATAATATAATATATAGTACCAATCAGTACGAAAATGTCGATGAATTTGTGATGATAAATTGACCAATTAAATATGTCAAGTAGCAAAATGTTGTTAGTCTCATCTATATCAAGTCGATAATAACTCTAAATCCAAGCACATATCTAAAAAAAATAAAATGCAAAAGCTTATCTTCTCATAGATAACTCAACTTAGATCATCATCAATTGAAATGAGATCGATAAACTGCAAAATATTTAAATTGGTGTTGCGTGTGAGATAAATTACTTGCCTCAAAGAGGCAATCAGAGGAACCTTCATTTCGATATCAAGGCCCCCACAATATATTACTAGACAATAATTTTCAGCCAAAGTTTCATATTAGTTATGAAAAGATATTCTTAGGGATAGTTGGATGCCATAAATTTTTTATTTCATACATAAATATAATTAATTTTTAGTTGAGATGACAATTCCATTTGAAAAAAGAAAAAGAAAGAAAGTACGGTGATAATTTTATGAAAACTTTAAAAGCTACAACGAACGTAGAAATAGGAAAGGGTAAGATTGTTATTTGAGTTTTGTCCATTGGGCTTGATTTTGGGCCTGGGCTTCTCGGCAAG